TCCATCTTTCTATATAATGTTAGAAAAATAAAATAAAATAGCTGTATATATGGTTCATAAATAGTTACAAAACCATTTCAATTTGGAAAAGCAAGAGTTTTCATATGAAGATAACAACAACAAGCTTAAGAAAATAACTGATGTTCTGAATCCAGTGAATAGAAAATTTCCCACAATCAGATTCAAACTGAAGGCCTTATAACCACTGATCAAATTAGCAGAAAATCATGCAACCTTCACAGTGATTTAGAAAAACTATGCTTTACCATAACTTATTTCAAAAACAAAAACAAAAATTCCAAAAATGTAGTCTAATAAAGACAAGAGAAAAGAAAAGAAAAAGAAGTAGAAGAAGAAGAAGAAGAAAAAAAAAGACAAATGGAAAATAATAACTGCCATTGGATATAATCATTAACTTTGCTTTTAGCCAATTTGGGTTTCAAATTCCAATCTGGGCCTTATGGGTTAAACTAAAATAAAGACAAAACAACTTACTGGCTTGTGACGCCATAGAAGGTTCCAGATTCGTCCTGAATATTGACATTAAGATCAGCCCAGAACTTAACGAGGAAGAAGGCATTTTGTGGGCCCTTGTCATAGAGTTCCTTTAGCCCTCCTTTCTTCTCTGGGAATTTATCATAAATCTGTCGAATGTCAACCGCCTGGAAGGGGGAGAAGTGCTTAGCATACTTGTAATATATACGAGTATCTTTGGTTATAATATGTATTAACATTTGGTAATTATATATTATCCTTGAAACATTTATATATACTTGACTAATTATCTTTGTAAAACTTATATGCATTTGACTATTTATATTTGTATCATTTATATATACTTGACTAATTATCTTTATTATCTGTAATATTTCCATATACCTGACTAAAAGTACATTCCTTTTTTAAATACTATGTACAGATGTGTAGAAAGCTGTGGACACAAAGTATGACTTAGAATATATATGGCTATCTCTTCATAAAGAGAATATTTGTTAAAATAACAAAGACTTATGATTATAATTTTACCTCTAATATTGGATCTGCATATGTCGTGGGTCCACCTATGTGAACAAACAGATGCTTCTGATACTGAAAAAACGAACAAAAAATTAAAACCATAAACCCAAATTTAAGTAATAATAACTATAATTCTTACGCTCAATTCAATTTTCAATATACATATATACATTATATATATATATATATATATATATATATATATATATATATATATATATAATATATATATGTGTGTGTGTGTGTGTGTGTGTGTGTGTGTGTGTGTGTGTGTGTGTGTGTGTGTGTGTGTGTGTGTGTGTGTGTGTATGTGTATGTATGTATGTATGTATATATATGTATATATGTGTATGTATATGTATATATATATGTATATATGTATATATGTATATATATATATATGTATATATATATATATATATATATATATATATATATATATATATATATATATATATATATAATATATATATATATATATATATACATATACATATAAATACATACATATATATACATACATATATATACATACATACATATATAAGAAAAAGGAATGAATGAGAATGAATATCTTCACAGACTGGTTTCCATTATATTTTCATCAGAAATACGCATATTTATGACAAAGTTATAATCTGGTCAAATACATCTCTTGCACTCATTCAAATCTATTTCTACATTTGTCAAAATGAACACTTAAATATATATCTTGTAAAAGCAACGTGGAATTACAAACAATTGTGATCTTGCTGTAATATTTCTCATATAAACATTTTAACATATATACTCAATATAATGTAAATAACAATATCTACACAGTATGCATAAACCCATAACAAAATCATGAGAGAAACAGAAAAGAAAAAAAAATTATATATATACAGTAAAACAAATCAAATATCTTACTGTGTCTGGATCTCTCTGGGACTCCATGAAAGCACTAAACTCAACAAGTCGCAGCTTCTGGGTGGCAATGGATCTTCCTTCCCATGGTGGCACTGTGACAGAGGGTGCCGGGGCTGGCTGTAGGAGACCACTCATGCCTCCTGTTCCAGGCTTTGTTTCGCTGCCCATGCCAAAGGGGGACTGAGCAAAAGGCTTGACACTAGGGGGAGGGATAATTGTCATTAATTAAAAGGAGTATGTAATACAAGTGAGCTGCTTTAATGTTGTATGTCCAAATATATATCTTCCTCTGAAATTACTCAGTATCTTAACATACATTCCAGTTCTTCTAATCTTAAACTATATGAGTCATAAACCATTCCAGAGCAACAAGAAATGATTATACCATCCCAACTTACTCTTGACTTGTTCCGGCCTGAAGACCTCCTTGCCAAAAAGCACTGGCATATGACACAGGAGGAGGAGGTAACCCAAGGGATGCCTTGTTGTGCATCACTGACGCGGATACGATCTGCGCAGATGACATGGAGGACATTGTCTGCAATGCTTTTTCTTTTGTGGCAGCATCCTGAAGGGGAAAATGGATCACATCAAGTCTATGTATAAAGGAAAAAGTAAACCAATTTTCGTTTCACTTCTCAAGTAATGTGTGATGCACAATTACATTTCTGTTTCATATACAAAATACAAAAGAACATGGATCTGGAAGGTATTTTAATTGTCACTGTGCTAGTATTACATTTCTGTTTAAAATAAAACCAAGCTGCTGATTGTTACTCACCAGTCTAAGCATTCCTCCATTTTCTTCTGATGTGCAGCCCTAAAATAAGGTACAAAAGTCTCGTTTAGTATATATAGAAATACTAATGATATTCAGCACTTAATGCAGACACTATTATGGCAATTTTGTTCTAATTTTTTCTGTATAAAGTATCCCAAAATATAAGTTAATTGTAATTCTGCTCTTGTTGTGAAAGTATAAAAATAAGAATATACTATCCACAGCTCTTATGTAAATTAAAATGGCAAGGTATCCTAAAGTCTCTGGAGAATCATGTATAAATCTTAAGAGCTTTAGCCATGAATACTTTACTTTAATAAAACTTTGGAAGAAAAAAATATCATCTGCAACAAAGTTAATGTTAAAGTTTTTGCTCTTTTTTAAAGAAATACTGAAAGTAAATAGCAACTTTTACCATACCACCATGTTATCTACCTCACAGCAATGGTAAAAGTACACAAAAAAGGAAGAAGAAGAAGAAGAAGAAAAAAAAACATGCAAATGTACACGATCAACACAAGGTACAAATCCCCTGTGAATAGCATATCAGTGGAGAAAAATAGTGTTATAATTTCTTTTGAGAAAGAACAATTCCTACCAGAGGAAGAGAAATTCTTAGGACTTGAGATTACTACATAGAGATCTGAAACTGGTTGTTATACAGAATGTAAGGTACCAGAAGAGCAGTACTAAGTTAATGAGTATTTTTTAACAGTGAAGCCTTCCCTTTAACCTCAGGCAGGCAGTGAAATAGTATGGTGTGCTACAAGAATTCATACTCAGCTACTCAACAACCGCTACATGTGCTCTGGTGCAAATGCATTTTTTTAACCACTTATTACATTGCAAAATAATGCCAGTCCCAGTGAAACAGTAGGAAGACTGTAATAGGTACTGAGGAATACCAACAGAAACACATGATCCAACTATTGTACAATTCAAACTTATGATAATCTAGTTCACACATCTTGACACCTAACCAATTCTATTTTTTCCCCCAGAAATCATTCCAATACAATATGAATGTATTTGGGAATGCTTTGGATAGGTGTTAAATGGCACTCTAGATTACAGTTTGAAGTTGAACGATAGTTGACACATGAGGTCCTAACTTGATTCACTAAGGAACTTCATCCTCCCACAACACCTTGGGTAAGTCAAGTCACAATAAGGTGCACATATATATACATATACATACACATATACACATACATACATACACATATGTATACATATATATATATATATATATATATATATAGCTTTTTTCAAGCAGGATTCTTTTGTAAAACAATGGAAAAAAGGAAAAGCGCCTATGAAGCGCCCATGCCCCAAGGAGGCATTTGTGGCTCGGTTTACGTTAGGTGAGGTACACACCACAACACCCAGCTGAGGAACAAAGCAAAGACTCCAGCCTTACCCCTGGTACATCCTGCAAAAAGAAAAATGGATGTGTGAGTCATGCGGACTAAAAGCCATGTGATTGCCTGATCTGTGAACTTATTAGTAGTTTTATTTTCATATATATATGTATGTATGTATATATATATATATATATATATATATATATATATATATATATATATATATATATATATAATATATATATATAATTATACATCACTGTCTATATATATGTATACCTGTATATACATATACACATATATATATATATATATATATATATATATATATATATATATATATATATATATATATATATAATATATATATATATATATATATATATATATATATATATATATATAAATATATACATATATATGTATCCCTAGTTAAAACACTTGCTATAATGACAAGTCACATCTAGAGAAAGCTAAGCTGTGTTAAACAAATAATATTCTTAACCCAGTATGGTCTATACAAAAAGTGTATCTGTCTATCTTTCCCCTGTATGTACATGAATATTAATATTTGTTATATATATTTGCTGTAACATGGTACCAGGGGTAAATTGCATTCAACAATTATTTTCCGTCACAAATGAGGTTTAGTTTTCATGTGGGGAAAATAACATTAATGGCAGCCAAAACATTAATAGGTAAAAGCATTAATAAGTACAATTAGAAATAAAACAAATCTTGCACTTCCACTACAAAGAAAAAAAGACTAATGTCATTTCCATGTATCATTAGCTATTGTGTCATCAAGGATCCAACTTGTTTTTATTTTTTGTAAATTTCTAAAATATATCACAGCATTGAGTTTGACTTACAGTAAGGTAGATATATGAATTGAAAAGAAATGTAAGCAATTATTGTTTTGCAAGTTTTAAATAATTATTTCAAGTATAACATGTAGAACAATAAAAGGCCAATTTAGCACAAGGCTAATTATGACTGATGCAGTATGGGGAAAATTTCTGTGTCTAAAGCAGATACAAAAATCATATAGAACATAGTACTCCTTCCAAAAAATAATAAATATATCTATCAAAATTTCCCTAAAAAAGATATATATAAAAAAAGATCTTGCTTCCAGTAGTATAGCGCAGCCTCTTTGTTAGTTCTATGATTTAAAAGCAATTAGGATTTGGAAAAAAACAATCATTCACGATCACAGCTCTCCTTATACTAATATAAATAACAATAATAGTAATAAATAAAACTTGGGAGGGTGGGCGAAAGCGAGAAAAAGAGAGGGGCAGGAAGGAAAGGAAAGTGGAATGAAGGAAAGAAGGAAAAATAGAGAAAAGCAGCTGTGTAGAGAAGGGAAAGAGGGATGGAGAGGTCAACAACGATGGAAGATGATTGAAAGAAGGGGAGGAAATCAAATTGAAGAAAAGGGAAAGAAAACAAAAGGGCAAACAAATTATATATATATATATATATATATATATATATATATATATATATAATATATATATATATATATATAATATATATATAATATATATATATATATATATATATATATATATCTATATATATATATATATATATATATATATATATATATATATATAATATAATAATGGTCAAGGAATCACCATCCACTCTAAACTACTCCGGGGGAAAGATTCAGAACCCTCCCTTCCCTCACAAAGGAATCGAATGCTCTCTCTCTCACCTTGAGCTTGGCCTGGATCTCGCGTAGCTTGCGTCTCGCGAGAACCTGGATGTGAGACGAAACTTGCTTGCGGGTTCGGGTCTTGCCTGTCCGTAGCTTGATGTAGCGGGCGATCAGCTCATTGCGACCTGCGGAGGGAGGAAGGGGGTCAGTCATGGGGCGCCAGCGGGACTAATGGAACATACAAATGGCGTGAATGAATGGTACAAATGGGGCGTAGGAATGGTACAAGTGGTACATGTGGGGTGTATGAATGCCGAGTGGCGTAAATGGTACATGCGAATGGTAAAAGTAATTGCTACACATGTGGCTTACGAACTGGAAAAAAGTAGTACAAATGAGGTATATGAATGTTAAAAACAGGTTGTGAAAATGGTATAACATGAACATATACAATACCTTTGTAAATGTGGGGAATGATCGGTACAAATCAATGGTACAACGAGGTAGCTACAAGGGGGGGTGGGGGTAATGGAACGGTTCAGCGAAATGTTCAAATGCAACGAATAAAAGACATGGGAGCGTGAGACACATCATAAATATAATTACTACATACTGTTATGAACATGTGCTTAGGCATAAGGGATTCTACATACAACTTGTCTCTTTATTAGAAACAAAGAGACTCGCTCTCGCTCTCTCTCTCTCTATAAATATAATCTAAAAATTACGTATCGGATATCAAATACACGGAAGAAAATACTCTACCATTTTTTCTTACAAACACATACACGCACACGCACACACACACACACGCACAACACATTATTATGGCGACACACCTGCATTTGTTTCCTTTTTTTTTCTCGAAACGCGGTGATTTTAACTTGGTACAATTTGTTTGTCTTTTTCATAAGCCGAGGCAACAGCTAAAAAAACTGTGCGTGAATGTATCTCACAAATTCACAACTTAATGTCAAAGATAATGGTAAACGAAGTCCAGTGGAAAGCGAGTCATGCATTGGGTTCATGATTTTATCACTTATTAATATTTTTTTGAAGTCTACGATTTACTGCCAGCTTACAACTCTCACGCTATATATTTTCGTATTCCCTCGCGATGAGTTATTGACCTACATAGTATTATTCTGAAAAGGAACTCCCTAAAAATAAAGTTAGAAAAAAAGACACAGCTTCAAAATGCACGACATTCGCAGTGTTCGGATACAGTCCCGCAACGGTTGCCACAACTAACGGAACATTGCACCATTTTTCAAGGATATGCTTCAATTTCCCGAAATTCCGGCGATCTTAACCACCAAAAGGATAAAATTCTCCCACGTGACCGCTATACGATGAAAGACAGAGGCAGAGACAAAGAGATCGCGGATTTACCAATGCGTTGTTATTAAATGTTCACGACTATATGGAAACTCGCCTGTGCCAAAGGGAGGGGTTCCCTTATTGTCAAGGGAGAACAGGCAAAAATGGTGCTTATGCAGATATGCGGTAGAGGCGCCTCTCTCGTTGCCATAAAACACAAAGACGACCTTAATGGGCCCCAAGTTGATTACTAAGAGATGACCGCAGGGCAGGTGCGACCAGGCGGTTCCCGAGGCTCGTTTTCTTGGCTTAAATTCGGAGCCATTAACCGAAAGGCTGAGCGAAACAACCACTTTACGAAACAGCTTCCGCCGAACGCTTCGGCACACGGACGCCGCCGCCCGAGTGCGTCCGACACAAAGCGAGCCCATGCCACTCACACGGACTGAAATCCCCATTCTCCTTATTAAATGAATCACAAGCGGGCGTCGAAAGAAGTCCGTAAGTACGTGGCAACCGGGAGCAGACAGCAGCAGCAGCAGCAGCAGCAGCAGCAGCGGTTCCCCGAGGATCACAAGGCAAAAAGAACAGGAAAAAATTGTGGCAAAGCTGCCCGATTTTTCTTGCGACTACAAAGTGAACCCGAATGACACGCCAGGCAATGATGGTGATCCGACAGTACGTGGTGTTATGGGTGCTTGGACGGTGCTGTCATAACACACATAAGGATTTGGATTTAAAACACACACACACACACACACACACACACACACACACACACACACACACACACACACACACACACGCACGCACACGCACGCACCACACGCACACACGAGAGAGCTTGGCAACAAGTGGAGCACCGCGTGAAGGCAGCGAAGAATTAGAGCGCGCGGGAACAAAACAAAAACACCCGAGAAAGACAAAAAGAAAGGAAAAAAAACATTAAAAAACGTAAACAAACCCCCCAAAAAACAGAACCACCAACAAGATAAAGACGCAGAACAAAATACATAATAATGACATAAAAATACAGGGGAGAGCAAAACAATCCACAGGATAACATCTCAGATCTTTTATTACTTTTGTTTTGGGCGGAAGTGTAAAGCACTGCGGTCAACTCGGAAGGACAAGAGAAGAAACACGTCCCCAACGATGTCGCACAATGGATGTCAACAAAATGCCACCGACATTTCTTCCGCGCGAATGTTTTAACAGGGCGGACAATCATAACCTTTGGAGGAAGATAATTTTTTTTTCAGAACAGATATTTCAGAGAGAGAGAGAGAGAGAGAGAGAGAGAGAGAGAGAGAGAGAGAGAGAGAGAGAGAGAGAGAGAGAGAGAGAGAGAGTGTGTGTGTGAGAGAGAGAGAGAGTGAGAGAGAGAGAGAGAGAGAGAGAGAGAGAGAGAGAGAGAGAGAGAGAGAGAGAGAGAGGAGAGAGAGAGAGAGAGAGAGAGAGAGAGAGAGAGAGAGAGAGAGAGAGAGAGAGAGAGAGAGAGAGAGAGAGAGAAGAGAGAAATTACACACCACAAGAAAAAGAAAAAGGGAAAAACAAGAGAATACGACGAAAGAATTACAGACCGAGGATTTGAAAAATGAAGACCCAGAGACGACCGCGAAAATGACAAACCAACCTGCGCAGATTACCCGCCAAACCGAGGTCATGGCGGCGAGGGAAAGATTGGACAAGACGGTTCTAGAAGCACTTACACTAAGATGACATAAGCTAAAGGGGATAGGCAGGGGGTGGGGTATGGGGTGGCAGGGTGAGGGGATGGGAGGTTGTAGGGGAAGGGAGAGGGAGAATGGGGCGGGCAGGGGAAGGGAGAATTGGGGTGGGGTGGCAGGAAGAGGGACAATGGGGGGGATGGCAGGGGGGGAGGGAGGGGGGAGCAGGGGTAAGGGGGATACAGAGGATGGTAGGGGGTGGAGGGGAGCGGACAGGGGGGGATGCTAGGGAGAGAAGAGGGGGAGAAGGGAGACTATCATTGGGGGAATAGGCGGGAGGATAAGGAGGAGGGAGGAGAGAGAGAGAGAGAGAGAGAGATGGAAGGAGGGAGGGAGGGAGGATGCGATGTTCCAAAATCCACCACAACCTTCTCCCCCTCCCCCCTCAACCCCCGTCCACCCCCCCCCCAAACACACCTAATCTCTACTACACCTGCGCCTTCCTCCACAACACTCGCTCTTTGCTTGTAGAAAAGAAGGCGAGAGAGAATGAATGAAGGGAGGCGAGGAAAGGAGGGAGGGGAACGTTTGGAAGCGAGAGGGAGGAAGAAAAAGGGAGAAAGAGAGGTAGATTAGAAAAAGGAAGGGAGAATTAGGATGAAGAGAGAGAGAGAAGAGAGAGAGAGAGAGAGAGAGAGAGAGAGAGAGAGAGAGAGAGAGAGAGAGAGAGAGAGAGAGAGAGAGAGAGAGAAGAGAGAAGGAAAGGGGCAGAGGGGGAAGGGGGAGGGGGCAGAGGCAAGGCGCGGGCAGTGGAGGCAAGAGGGCGAGCGTTACACCGTTACCTTACCAGTGGTACAACCTGCCCTCTCCCGACTTCCTCTCTCCTCTCTCTCTCTCTCTCTCTCTCTCTCTCTTCTCTCTTCTCTCTCTCTCTCTCTCTCTCTCTCTCTCTCTCTCTCTCTCTCTCTCTCTCTCTCTCTTCTCTCCTCCCACTATTTACTTTTTCATACTCCCACTCTCCCTCTAGTGTTGTTTTTTCTCTAGCTTATCTAACAGCTTCTAGCACACACGCTGAGCATCGCACAAACCGTTCCTTTCTTCAACTTCCCCAACACAAAATGTATCCTTTCTCCCTCTGCCTCTCGTCCTCCTCCTCTCCTTTCCCCTTTCCTCCCTCCTCCCTCTCTACCCCTTTCACCTCTCCTCCCTCCCTCCTTTTGCCATCCCACTCCCTCCTCCCTCCTCCTCTCTTTCCTCCTTTCCCCCTATCCCTTCTCCCTACCACTAGTTCCTCCTCCTCCTCCTCCTCCTCCTCCTCCTCCTCCTCCTCCTCCTCCTCCTCCTCCTCCTCCTCCCTCTCCTCTCCCTCCAGGGCGACGCGAAGGGAGGTGAGTTACGACGCCCCTGCTCTTCACCGGGCATCTCAGAGGATCACACACGCGCTCCATCCTCGATCAGGAAAGGGAGAGGGAGGGATGGGGGAGAGTGAGAAGGGGCGAGAGGAGAAGGGAAGAGGGAGGGGAACAGATGACACGGAGAGGAAAGGGAGAGGAGAAGGGAGAAAACAGAGAGAGAGGGGGAGGGAGGTAGGGGATGGACGTATGGGTCTATCAGCAAGAAGACCCTTGCCCTAGGACTCGAGTTGGCCGCGTGCGTGCTCGAACCGCAGGATCCTCGGCCGGAATACTTTCTTCTCCGGTGTCAACTGCATCGCAATGGCAGAGAGCGCCGCTTGACACAGACTCTGGCCTCCGCGCACTCTCACAGTCGGATCACTTGCCGGAACAACACTCGAGCGTTTGCGGAAATTAAACGCGTTCATCTGTTTTTTAAAGGTGTCATGTTATCATTCATTGCACTTCTGTCACTCGTCGTCAGCCAGGGCACCGCTGGGAGGAGAGAGAAGGGAGAGGGAAGGAGGGAGAGGGAAGGAGGGGAGGGGTGATCGTCGTCGCGGGAGGCTCCGGGGAATTATCAAGTACAAGCACAACTCTCTCATTTCCTCTTCTCGTTCTCGTCCTCCTCCTTCTCTCCCTCTCCCTCCCTCTCATCGCGATCCTACCTTGCTCTATCCTCACCCTCGCCTCCTGTCCCTCACTCCGCATCCCCACTCGCCTACCTTTGCCCCGAGGCGCCCACCACACCCTCGGGCATATCGTTACAACAACAGGGAGACTGAGGGAGGGGGGCAGGGAGGGGGCGCGGGCAGAGGAAGGGTGCGGCAACCAGGGGGGGAAGGGGAAAGGGTTGATAACAAGAGCGGTGTTGGCGAGGTGAGGGCGATGAGCACGGGCACTGTCTAGGGACAACATC